GTGTGTGTGTGTGTGTGTGTGTGTGTGTGTGTGTGTGTGTGTGTGTGTGTGTGTGTGTGTGTGTGTGTGTAGTATCTCCAACAAATTCATGTATTTAAAAGGCTTGTCCCCCAGCTGGGAACACTGTTTTTTGAAGTCATGAGGCTTTGGGAGATGGGATCCCAATTTGCAAAAGTAGGTTACTAGACAGGAGTCTTCTGGTTCCAGCCTGAGTTCTCTACTTCCTGGTTGTCATGATGTGACCAACTGTCTCACATTCCCGCTAATAGGTACCAAACCTTTCTCACAGCTATGCCTCCCCTGCCATGATGGACCCAAGACTTCTGAAACCATGAGTGAAATTAACCTCTTCCCCCTTTAAAAATATGATTTCTTTTAGCCACATCTAAGAACTCCTAATGTTAGCATGGTTTCTTTCACTGATTTTCTCTGCCTCCCCAAAGCTGTCCAGTGAAGCCCATCAGGTCCCCATCTGCACATTAAGAAGAGTCCAGTGTCCCAAAACAGTCTATTGAGGCCAGAGGCTTTCAATGGCTCTTGGCTTTTATTCCCCAGTCATATGTGTCCTACTGTGGAATCAGTTCCTGGACACTCAGCAGGCTGTCCAGCCAGGAGGAAGTCTCCCAGTTCTGCCCTCTAGGCTTAAGGGTTGAACATCTGACAGTAGGTTATTTCCCTGGCCCCTAAGATCACAGCCCTTGTTTGTGTAACCATGTGGTAACAGCATGCTTTGTTGTTTGTCTAGCTCACCTACCGCTGTCCTTTCCTGCCTAACAGAAATCCAGTTTTATCTGGGAGCAGTGCACCATCCTCAGGAATTGGACAACAATTTACATAAGCCAGTTACAACAATTTTCTTCTCCATTTCCTCAGTCTCCAAGTCCTCAATGTCACTAGGACCTGATTCATTCCAGGCAAGGAGATGGAAGACTTTGATGGGGAATGCTAGGGAAATGGTTTTCTTTCTTCATGTACGTTTAGACAAGGCTTGCCTGGCCCTCCTCTTGTTTTCTCCATGTCTGAATGCAGGCTTGTCGTATATGGCTCCCACCCTAATTCATAGCATCAGACCCCAGCATTTAGATATGAAGAAAACTGAGTCACCATCTTTCCTTCAAATCTTCTCTTTCTGCAAGCTACTAGTCCCATGATTTTACCTACATCCAAGCAAAGCCAGCTGTCATTCTATACCACCCTACCTCCAATCAATCACTGAGTCTTCATCAGCTGACCTCTTAGCTATCTCTTGAATCAGTTTCCTCTCCATCGTCAGCGTCAGTGCTACTGCCTTAGATCAGATCTGCTCTTGCCTCACCTTGATTGCTGCAAGGCGCCCTGTCTGCAAGCTGCCTCCCCTCTGAACTCTTCAATCAGTCCTCCAAATGTGAGCTCGAGTTTCATTTCTAAAATGCAAATCTGATCAGGTCATTTCCCTGTACAAAACCCTGCATTGTCTTCCAGCCTTGAACTTGAGACCCCTCAGACCCATTTTCACAGACCCTTTAGGTTATGGCTCCTATATGTTTACTTCTTCCATCCCCCAAAGGGACCTCCTACTGCCAGATGTATCAAAAACAATGTAGTCTGGGAATTATGTCTGCCTGGTGCTGCGCCTTCAGCTTGAGTTTGCCCTCAGATTCCTCTTCAATAACTCCTTTTTGACCTTTAAATTTCAGCTCATCCATTCCCCCCTTTCTCTAGATGCCTCCCCCTCCCCCTGCTGGCCTCTCTTCTGTGTCTTCATCTGCAGTAGAGCCTTCCACACTGATCTGTAATCTCTAGCTATTTTTACGGCTAATGCTCATTTAGATTTACTCGCATGTTTACCCAGGTTCATCACTCATCATTGCTTTTCGTCTCCTACGGCTGCCTTCTGGGTTTCATTTCTAGGTTTCATCTCTGAAGTAAATCCTCTAGTAATTTTTCCAGTTAGGATCATAAGTGTAAATTTTTTTCAGACTTTGTTTTAAAATGTCTATATTTATTTTACTCTCCCTTTCTTTTGACTTTTTGTTATGAAAATTCAAATATAAAGAAAAGTAGAAAAACTAATATAGCTAACGTGCATATTCTCCATCTGGATTTAACAATTGTTAACATATGTCATGTTTGCCTCATCTGTTTTTTCCTAAGGTGCTTTAAAATAGATTCCAGGCATCCTCATATTTTATCCTGTGCAGAACAGTTTTCTTTTGGCCCTGTCACTTTCCCTATCCTTTTATTTTCTTGAGGATGTGAAATCTCTGGCCCTCATGGACAATGGGACAATCTAACAAAAGAACAAACAAGTCAAGAGTTAGCAGTAACTGGGTTTTCCCACCAAAGCCCACAGCTTCTGTGGTGACACCTTCTCTAGCTGGAGCCACCACTCTTCAAGTTCCAGTAACTGCTCCATCATCTGTCCTTTAAGGCCCCAATAACTGGAAACTCATGCAGCTCTGAGGTGCTTCAAAATACTTTGTTTTTTCCTACAGTCTGATTATGCCCTATAAATAGTCTCTCTTATTAAACTGTCCTGTAGCATCTCATCTGGCCCAGAATTATAGACACTCTTAAGTACACTCATACATCATGCGACATTTTTGCCAACAGCACATCACATATACTATGGTCCCAGAAGATTATAATGGAGGTGAAATTTTTTATAATAAAGATACCTGAACATTCATACTTATTGTGGCACTACTCAAAGTAGCCAAGTTTCAGAGTCAGCCAAAGTGTCCTTCGGTGGATATAGGGATTAGAAAACTCGAAAATTATTCAACCATAAAGAAGAAAGAACCCATGCTTTGGGGGAAAGAGACAGAACTGCAGATCACCTTGTTAATGGACATAAGCCAGGCTCAGAAAACAAATATACATGTTTTCTCTCATATGTGCAATCTGGATTTTTTTTAAGTAGAAAGGAACTAATTTGGGAAGAGAAGGGGGATTATCAAGAGGTGGAAAGATACCAGGGTATTAGGAGGTAACTATAATCAAAGTATATCATGTATGTGTGGCAATGCCATGATGGGACACATAATTTTCTACAATTAATACATGCTAACAAGGGGCTGGAAATATGGCTCACCTGTTAAGAGAGCTTGTTGCTCTTCCAGAGGATCCAGGTTCGATTCCCAGCACAATCGTGGCAACTCAAAACTGTTTCTAGCTCCAGTTTCAAGAGACCTGACTCCCTCTTCCTACTGACCTCTATGGACACCAGGCATGCACATGGTGCACAATTCTGCATGCTGACAAACATTCATACATACAAAATAACATAAATGTATCTTTTAAAATATAACAAAAAGCCAGAAATTAACTTCTCTTATCTACCAATGCCTTCTCCATCATAATGTCATAATGCAATTCATTGCTCATGTTTCTGGGGACATTGAAGTAAACAGGCCTGCTGCACTGTAGCCATACAAAAACTCTGTGCAGAATACTTACTGATGAAATAAATAGCTACATTACTGAATTATGTATTTACTATGTAATTATTTCTTTCATTAATTTAAGGTGTACTCCTCTTCTTTGTAAAAAGAAAGTTTGCTGAAAAAACCAGATGTCTTGTTACTCTGGCAACAGGTTCATAGGTCTTGTGTCTACTAAGTCTCTTGATTGCATCAAAAGGTAACATGCATCTAGTGATTGTCCTATAAGATCTAGGTTTGTGTAAGTACACTTCATGATGTTTGTGCAATGGTAAAATCACATAACAGTCGGCTTCCCAGATTATATGCCCATCATTAAGTGGCACATGACTCGACTTCAGCATGAATCAATTTTAAAACTTTTGGTGTGTGATTTTTTTACAAAATATAAACACAATATGAAAATATTGCCATTATTACACAAATTAACAAAATTAAGAGTAATTTCCTTAACACAATACCCAATTTCTTTCAAAGTTTTTTTTTTTATTTTCTGAATTTTTGTTTGTCAGAACTCAACCTGAGGACCACATACTGCTTTTGGTTATTTCTTTTAAATCACACAGAACCTAGAAACATTCCCCTATTATTTTCTTTCCATCTTAACCACACTTTAAAACTGTACTTCATAGGTGATGTTGTCTATTTCATAACACATGTAGGCATTTTGTGGCTTGAGGAATTCCTTTATTATTAAGCTGGTGTGAATTCACATTTCACAAGGTTTAGAATTCGTACAGAGGCTTTTACTCACTATCTATAGCCCTAGGAAAAGAAAAGAGGCCATTTGCCACTATCTCAAACTGATGACAAGCCTTCAGATGAAAGCTAACCTTTTGTCACACTTAAAAGATGTGTTAGTCAGCATTATGTTACTGTAACAAATGTTTGGGATAATATACTAATAGAAGAAAAAGATCTGTTTTAGCTCACCATTTTGGAAGTTGCAGTCTGTGGTTGGGTGACCACATTGTTTGAGGACCAAAAGCACATCATACTTAGCTTATGACAGAGCTAAGCTACTCAACTTGTGGGGCAGATGCAAAGAAAAGGAGAAAGAGGAATGGTGAGATGGCTGGTTTTCTAAACTGCTTGCAGTGCAAGCTTGAGAACCTGTGTGCAGATTCACCATAAAAGTCAGGCATGACCAAGGCAGAGACAGTTAGATCCTTGGCATTCATTCGCCAGCCAGCCTAGCAAATAATGAGCCCCAGGGTCAGTAAAAGACACTATCTCACAAACCAAAGTGGGAAGTGCTCAAGGAAAATATCTGACACAGACCTCTGGCCTCCACACCCCATCCCACCCCCATAAACATATGTAACACATATATAACACACAGAGAGAGGAGAAAGGGAAGGAATATAAAAAAAAAACTGGATTTCATGATTCATTTCCAAGGTGGCCTCTGCCCCATAAGAACCAGAAGACTTCCCACGTGGCCCCACCTCAAACCTCATGCAAACTTTAGTTTGATGCTTTCATGAGGGCCAGGAGTACTCTTTGACTCTACACCCCTGTTTATATGCTCATCTCAATTGCCTAAGGCCTGTAGTCTTTCCGATAGGCTCCCTGGATGATATGGTATCAATTCATGGGTTTATTATTCCCGTTTAACTATTTTATTTGAATCTGGCACCTCAGGAGTTTCATTTTCAGCATGTACTAATTTTGTAATATTATATTGCTACATTTACCCCAACATCTAGGTGTTATTGGTAATGTCTGCTTAATTTATTCTCCCCACTTCTAGGCCTTAAGCACTGTGGGGGCATCATCTATGACAGATTCAATTCCATATTCCCCAAATCTGGCAGATAGTGGATACTCGGTAAATATTTTTTACATGTTTAAGTGAATTGTGCATTTTAATGCTTTCCTAGGCATGGCTTTACAATTAGTATTTCCTTGTGTGAAATTTTATCGTTAATGCCCCTTGACCCACTGTATCAGAGTCTCATTGTTGACTTTCTCTGTTGTATCTACTCTTTGTACATTAGGATAAAACATCTCATCCACATATTTACTATGCACGTTCCATTGTCGTCTTCTTGAATATGTTTCCTTATAATTTGTTTGTATATCAGAACATAACCATTTATTTTGTTCAATCTAAAAATAATACAATGTAATTCTATCTGTTAGGAAAAGAAACCTACTTGAACTAGTTCGTGTTTTGTTCGTACACAGATCCCTCTTTCTGTTATGAAAAGAGCAGAGAATGTGGAAACCAGAATGAATGTTGAGAAACAGAGGGACTCACTCTGTCTCTCAGGGGTTATGGTGCTTTGAATGGCATGCACCTATGGGTCCATGTATTTGAACATTTGACCCACCGTTGGTGATGCTCTTTAGGGAAATTTATGAGATGTGGCCTTTCTGGAGGAAGTATGTCACTAGGGGTGAGCTTTGAGAGTTTAAGACCTATTCCTATTTGCAGTTAGTTTTCTCTGCTTAGTACCTATGGTTTGAGGATAGGAGCTTCCTAATCTAGCTGCTTTGCCTCTGCTCTAGCATCATGGAGTTTTATTCCACAGGAACCATAAGCCCAAATGGTTAAGTTGTCTATGGCATGGTATTTTATCCTTAAGTTGCCATGGTCATGGTTATTTTATCACAGCAACAGAAAAATTACTAATATAGGAGATGCATGGCTTCTTTATTTTGAGATTCTCTGATTGCTTCCACCAGCATCCCTCTGCCTGAGACAGGATTTTCACAGCCTATCAGAAGCACTCAATTCCAAATCTCCATGACCCTGGCAGGTTTCTTTGTTGACAGGAACAAAACTACTCCCTTTGCTTCAGATTTCCTAAAGAAGTGCTCTGATTGGTTCAGCACAGCTTATGGAAGACCTGTGCAGTATACCCCACCACTTTAAGGCAGATGGCCTATTCAACCCTAAGTTGGAAAGTAGACAGGGTTCCTCAGCCTGATGCTCACTTGGCAGATGTGGGCATAGTGGGGCCCTAGCAAGTAGGCTTGGCCAGATTACCTACCCAGTCTACCACAATGTAGATAGAAGTTGGAGGAAAACCATGTGGACTTAGAGAATGAACAATGAATGAAATAATGAAGGTATCTATCTACAAGAGAAGCAAGAATGGTGAGGAATGATTCAGCATGAAACCCTAAATGAGAATCATAGACCAGTTCCTATCAGGACTGACAAGGCATGGCTTTAACTGAATTAAGGCATCACCTAACCCCACCCACTCTTGGGGACTCCAAGTACCTCTATCCTGGAGCCTCTAAGTACCTGTTCCTATAAAAACTGGAATGAGGCATAAGCTAGAGAATCAGCGACTGTTTAGCAGAAGATGGTGCCTTTGAGGCTATTATGGGGTTTATTTCATTTGGCTTCCTATTTTTGTTATGTGTGTAAATGTCTGTCTCCCTCGACAAATGTTACAATCCTTGAATGGCAGAAATGTGTCTCATATGGCATCTACATCTCTAAAACACCAATCAAACACCCTGTCATGTTCATATTTTACATGGTATCAAATCCTGCTGTAGTGCTTACTAGTTGTATGTCTTTAACCAACTCAACCACAGTAGACCTCAACCACAGTAGACCTCAGTTCCCCCAGCTGCACACAGGTTGTAACAACACTACCTACCACAGAAGGTTGTCAAGAGAATTAAATACACAGCCAAACACTGTGAACAGTTTCGGACATGCTGTAAGCTCTTAAGAAACGTCAGCCATTATTAATAGGTGCTGGTTTCAGACCAAGCCAACTTTCAAAAGGTTCCTATGGTATCTAATGACTGTTCTCCAATTCAGTTTTGTTGTTTATCTGCCCCAACTGGGAAAGCAGTGACTGCACAGTCTCTTGGGTCCTGCCAGTATTCAGAGGTCACATTTGAGGCCAGAAGCTGTGTCCAGTGAAAATTAAGTCTCAGACACAATAGTGGTGACTGAGGTTTCATGCCAGCCTACTGCCCCGGAATAGAACCCAAGCCTTTCTTGTTGGAGGATGCATCATCATGCTGCCTGGCAGCTGGGTTCCTCTACACCAGTGAACACTCCCATACCCCCCTCACTCACAAAACTTGGGGCATGCTGCCTGCTGCCTGCCCTTGCTCCTGTCACTCCTGTTGAGTCCTGGTTCCCCAGGGTCTCTTTTGCCCTGTTCCCAGCTACCCCCTCTACTCACCATCAATAATCTTCCATCTCTTGGCTTTCCTCTTTCTCTGCCTTCCCAGGTGACAAATAACTCCCCTGGTGGAGCTTCCACATGAATAGGAACGAGGAAAGGACTTGTGCTCCCCTACCAAGTTATATGTGTGCATTTTAACAAGAGCTATTGGAAGATGTCCTGCCTTTACCTTACTCAAAGGAACAAATCCCATGATGTACATTTGTCTTAGTTTCTTTCTTCGGGAAGCAGAACCTAAGGCCAAGACTTGGACACAGGGCTTGCATTTGACAAGTGGTCCCTGGAACCCAGAGGGAGGGAGCAGGGACAGGGAGAAAAGAAAGGGGAAAGCTAGAGTAAGCATAAGGGTATTGCCACAGGCAAATGGGGCTTGCCCTGCTAGGACACCATGCAAAGTATATAGATTTGCCCACCTGAAAGAAGGGGGGTAGACACATTTACTCCCGTTCCTATTTCCACTGGTTGAAGATTGCACCTGTAGGTGCTAATTTTGCATTTCTAAGTCATAGTTGTGCTGTGGCCAAGGCAGATACTGCCTTTCCAGAGAGGTCTGAGGTGGAAAGTAGAAAGGTCTAAACCCGAGCTAGCTGCCAGCTTAAAGGAAACAGAACCACTACCCAAAGTGTGCCAAAGCAGGCAACTTCACCACTGGTGTCCGACAGCATGTAGAAGGTGAGGTGAGGTGAGGTGTGTGTGTGTGTGTGTGTGTGTGTGTGTGTGTGTGTGTGTGTGTGTGTGTGTGTGTGTGTGTGTGTGTGTGTGTGGGTAATGGGCACCGGCACCAGCATCGGAGGGGAAGGAGACATGCACGAGCCACGAATCCAATGGAAGTAACCAGGGAGTTAGGAGAGAACCTGTCCTCATCCACCACCACCTCC